AACAAACGAAGAGAATCGTAGGATACAAAGCACTAGGAAGTCATCCAATCCAGCCCTCCATCCATTCACTGCTCCTGTGTTTCATTTATCGTTAGAGCACCAGCTTCAGCAGAATTACATCAATTGTCTTCAATGTGCCAATGAGCTTTTGTGGTCTTGTCTGAGACCAACCCCCATTTACAAGAGTGACTTAAGTTAGAAATTATGCTCCTAATTCTAAACAAATGACTTCAAACAAACTTTGGAAACCCAATCCATTTGTAACTTGAGAAATACCTACAGCCCTCCAAACAAGACAATTAATGAGAGAACTAGGCCAGAGAGAAAAGGTATTTGTCAGAAGAAACTTGGCATACATGTTATACTTTTCCCATCTGATTATTTTTGTATTTTTCCTGTGATTCCAACTTCCTTAAGTGACCTCTGTTCATAAGAAACTATTCTGTTTAATCTGTGGGAACGTGGCATATTTTTAACCATCTTCGAAGGCCAGCTCCCTCTCCACTGAGCGTGCCTGATACCTAAACAGATGTTTTATAATACTCAGCACACATGAGCTCATCACTGGCAAGACATTTGCACCCAATCAGCCCACAGTTCTTCTCACATCCCCTCTGTTATCCCACAAACTCAAATTTAGAACTCACAGGCAAGCTTGGGTCTTTACCATGGTAACAAAAGAGCAGGCTATGGAGAGTCCAGTTATGAAATTCAATGTATTAATATTTTATAAATTTGATAACCTACTGGAAGACATGGAATACAAGGAGTTAGCCAAACTAAGTAGTATAAAAAGATGTACAAACTGACTGCCCCAAAAGAATTCAGATTAAAGTATTTGAGTAAAGGGCTCCAAAACAACTCAAATTTTGATCAAATCATAAAACATTAGGGATGAAAGACCCTTGGATGTCATCTAGCTAGCACAACTCTGTTACAAATGAAGAAGCTGAGGCCCATAGAGAGAAAGTGACTTACTCGAGGTTCCACAGTGAGTGCATTTGGAGCAGAACTAGAGGCAGACCTCTGCCTCCTGGGCCTGACCCGTGGAGCAGACCAGAGCCCATACCTCCAGTTCCCTGTCCCTGTTCTCCTTGGACCATTGGTGGCTGTGGTTCAAAACTGGGAAAAAGCCAGAACCTGGGTCAACAAGATCTGTCATCTCAACTACATCATGATTGTTTCAGAGTGTCACCTCCAAATTAGGTTAAGTGTTTTGTTAGGGACAATTTTCCTTGATAAGTCAGTCAAAAGTAACCAAAAAAAAAAAACCTCACAAAACCTACCTATTCTTGAAGGTAACATGTTAACATGTCTAGTGTGGGAATCAAGGGGAGTGTATGATATGCTTACTACCCTTCCCGCAAGAGCCTAGAAGATGTCCGAAGAGACCATGAGAGAGTGAACAAGGAGAGCCAAACTCACAGCTGTGAGTTCATGCACCTTTGAGCCTCTGAGAACTGAAACTTGCCGGGAAAATCTGAGCTTTCACCAAAGCCTCACTCTCTCAAAAACCCTCAGGGATAGGAGCAGTATTTGCTGAGCACTCACTTAAACTTGAACCTAGTGCTGCTTTAAAGATCTCAGGAGGAGAAGACCTGGAAGCTCCCTCAGAGACTCACCCACCAGCTGGGGAGCAATTTATACTGAGAAGAGTGCCAACTGGCACAGCATGTCCTTTCATTGAACAAATCCTTGTGAAGGGCTGAGGATGGGCCAGCCTGGACGTCCTACAATAACTAAAAGAACAAGAAATGAATTGAAAGATGTAAGCCAGGACCAGATCAAAAAAGGGCTGATACGCCATCAGAGAGGTTTGGATTTTATTCTAAAGATGATGGGGAACCATTGAAGGACTTTGAACTGGGCAGTGAATTGACTGGATTCCTTCTGGAAACATCTCTAGACAGCTAGGTTAAGAGCTGATGGATTGTGGCCAAGAGTTACATGGTGTGATACCATCTATAAGGGCTTCAAGAAATTATTTGTACTTTTAGTCTATCTTCAGGATAATACAGTGAAAAACAGATTGGTGCCTACAACAAGCGGAGCTGGTTTTAATCCAGCTTCTACCATTCACTGGCTGTATAATCTTGGGCACATTATTTAAATGAAGCTAAGCCCTCAGTCTTTTTTCTGTACAGTGAAGATAATAATACTTAGCTCATAGGGATTTGATAATAAAGAAGATATTGTGCCTGGACATTTCTAATAATCCTCCCAACACCATTAGACTCAGTCAGATAAAAACAGCATTTCCCAACCGGCAGGCACACCACCTCATATCCTCCAAGCTGCCACTGAGTAGAAGATACTGTTGTATTTTCTTCTTAGAATTTATCTAGAGCATTTGGTTGCTAATGTGTGAAAATAATTGGCATTCATTTTTCATAAATGAGCAAGCCGGAGTAAACTGAGGTCAAAACCAAATCTTAGATCTGAATCAAACCACCAAAAAACAATCCTGCAAAGAATTAAACTGCATTACAAAGACCAGGGTAGGAACGGAGAGCTCCAATCGTCCTAGCAACATGTTAAGCAAACAGTGGTGCAGATTCACTGGCATACATGACACTGAGAACATCTGGCCTTTCTATTATCCTGTCACAAGCAAAAAATGATGTCGTGTAAACTGATCTTTAGGTCAATTATATGGTCTAAGTGTTACAGTGTTTGTGTTGGCTCCTCAGGCTCCAGGTTTTAAGAACTTAATTCGTAGCCACACCCCTCCCTGAAGCCCTAATTACGTCTTACTGTAAGGGACCCCAGGGATTTGTTTATGCGAGGTCTGCACCTCTGTTCAGGATGATAAGTGTGTGTAAATGCATCATCAGTTAACTGGGTGTGCAAAGCACTATGGGAGGTCCTAAGAGAGTTACAGGAGTTACGTAGAAGAGAGTACATAAGAGGGCAGGATCTGGGGGCTGCTCTGGCCACATGGCCAATGCTACATTTTTTCCCCTGTATGTCAGTTTTATTATAGAAGCCAGGTGTAGCGTGTAAGGCTCTAGCCTGCAGCTCACTTAGAAGGCACTCAACTGGAGTCAGAAAACCTGATGCTACCTCCAGCGCGTCTTTGTGCAGTAGATAAGGCCATTATTGTGTCTGAGTGTGTTTCCTCATCTAGACTTAACTTCATTTTCCAAACACCATGTGCCAGGCACTGTTCCAAGACCTTCACCAGCATTGATTACGTTCATCCGCATAGTGACTATCAGTGGTAGGTGGTATTAGTACCCCCACCCCATGTCACACAGTGGGGTGTCATGCAGCAGAGATGTGGCAGAGGCGGTGAGCTTACGCCTCCTCCCTGGCTGCTTAACAAGTGCTCGGGGCTGTTGTGTCAGCTCTAATGTGCTAGGGTCAGTAAGGAACCACAGCCCAGTGCTTCGGAGCTGCAGACCATGAGTACAGTCCGGGAGCATTACTGACTGTGGGAAGTGGGCTCCTGGCCTCTCCCCACCTCAGCCCACCCTGACCCCCTGCAGCTATGGCCAAGAGGCAGTGATGGCAGATGGGACACTGACAAGAGCTCTCTCTCACCCACCTCACCCCTACCTCCCAGCCTCTGGATCCCTGGGCCTCCTCTCTTGTTCCAGCCCACATCACTGATCCCTAGAGGGAGGGAGAGAGCAGTGGATAGCCAGCCCTAAAGGAAATCGAAAGCTACCCAGGCTGGACCCCAGGCACCAGCTGCTCCTTCCCCAGGGTTGGAATTTTCCTTCAGCTTTAAAGGAAATGAATCTCTCGCCTCTGGGTCTGACTTAGCATGTCTAGGAACGAAGGGCAGACTATGTAGTACAGTAAATCCCAGACTCTTGAGTTGTCCATTACAGGAATTTATTACAGATGGTAACCATTAGGACTTTAACATCTTGAAGGGAAGAGTTTTATCCAGAATCATAAATAAACTGTAACCAAGGCTCAGATTTATAAAGCTGTAAAAGAGAGCTGCTGGACAACTGGGAATTTACAGTACTGGGTTACAAAATCAACTTAAGGCATGAAAGCTTGCACTTGATCTGGGAGTTCTGGACAATGCAGTTAATAGACCCCAATCAGAACCTAACAAAGTTAGGCTCTCGTTTAATCTCATGAAATGCAAGCTCAGAGAAGATGGGGTGTTGGCATCTATATATGGCATTGTAATTCCTAAACCAATAGTGTAGTAGTAAAATATAAAACAAGGCTACTCCCTCCCAGAAGTTTCTCATCTGTTCAGGGAAGCAAGGAATTTACAGATCAAACAATTTTAGTATGCAGGCTTCTGTGTGTGGCATAGATTATAACTGTAGAAGAGTTTAGGGAGGGAAGCAAAGGCTAAGTAAGTGAAGGCTGAAGTCATCAGGGAAAGATGTGTGGACAAGAAGGAACTAGACTTATGACTTGAAGGATGAGCGGAGATGCACACATGTGAACAGAGGTTTGCTCAGCCCCCACATCTCCCACCAACACACTTTGTGTCCCAGCTGTGACCCTCATCCCAAGCCGAGTCTCAAATCACACACTTGTGTATCCTACAGGTAATTGTCCTACAAGGAATTGATGCTCAAATTCCACCAACCCCACCTCTTCCTAGTTGTGTGGCCTTGGGAAATGACTTACCTTTTTTCAGCCTCAGTTTCCTCATCTAGGAAATGCAACAGTTGATTTTCATACCTGGCATCGGAAGGCTTTTGAAACTAAAATTGATGACCTCTGTACTCAGCTTGACCCTATGCATCCGGTTAAGGTCGGGCCCCTTCCTTTCCTCCTCCTTGAGAGATTTCAGGAAAAATTAATTTTAACAAATAATTTTTTTAACACAGTAAGCTTCAAAAAAGGAAGCAGAAAGCTTTTTTGTTGCCAAGTTCTATTGTATGCCATTCAAGTGTTGTCATAAATGTTGTGTCGGCTTTCTACATATTTCTTTCAGGCCACCCACCACACTTCCCACCTGCCCTGTTGTAAGGTCATAGCAAGCTTCAGCTCACATTTCCTTTTCTCTGATTCTCTTCCAGGGGCGCTGTATCAACTTCACCAGAGTCAAGAACAATCCACCTGCCAAGTACCCCCTCAACAACGCCTACCATACCAGTTCACCGCCTCCTGCCCCCATCTACACTCCCCCACCTCCTGCTCCCCACTGCCCTCCCCCACCCCCTAGTGCTCCCACTCCCCCAATTCCATCCCCACCATCCATCCTTCCCCCTCCCCCTCAGGCTCCACCTCCCAACAGGGCGCCACCCCCCTCCAGGCCTCCTCCTAGGCCTTCTGTCTAGAACCCAAGGTTTGTGCTCTGGGCTCTCTCAGAAACTTTAGGGAGGAGGCTCCTCTGTGGTGTTAGAGTAAGTCTTTCCAGTTAAAGGAAGATTCCACTTTGGAAATGAGTGGTGATAAAGCCCAGTGATGTTCACACACTTTAAAATTTGGTTTGTCATGCCAGTATGCCAACAATTGTGATCATCAGAAAGAAATCAAAATTTTGAAATGCCTGAAAACAAATGAGGCAACTACAGTCACAATTATAGCCAGCCAGCCATCACCTCTAGAAGGTTCCAGAGACAGTGAAACTGCTGAGATGCTCTAAATGGGAATGTGTCTCACGGAAGACCAGTAACAAATCATTTCTCTAGGGTGAAATGCAGAGTCGGATAAGAAATAACATTGCTGAGTTTCTAAATGCTGCTTTTCCTCCTCCACTCCAACTCTATCATTTAACCATGGATCCTTGGCCTAGGAACCAAGGAATGGAGTGAGTCCTCACCCCTGTGCACCACCCAGGAAGGTGGAAACCCTTTGCCTACAATTTTGGGGAAAGCTTGAAGTAGCCATCGTGGCAAGAAACTCAACATCAGACAGATATCCAAAACCATGACTTACTGGGATTTTCAGAGGAGTAAAAATATGCCACTTTTCCTTTCAAATTCTCCCAGTTTCCAAGTGAGGAAGAGAGCAGGTATTTACTGATGGAAAAGGTATGTTGCCATGTTGCTGTGTAAGTGAAACCAGGTGTGTACATTGACAAGAGGCATACTGATGGGTGCAGCAGATAGTTTCTAAAACCCACAGGCCATCAGCAGCTTGAGGTGGCTGGCTTTGGCCCAACCTGGTCCCCTAGATCAACAGACAACACATTGTCGACAAAAACCTGTTAATGATTCACGTTAAAAATCAAGGTTTAGCCTTGGTTTAAATCACTTGATATACGAAGAAGTGATTGATCCTGTTTTCCAGAGACAAATGCGAGTTGATCTTCCCAAAACGACATCACTAGCGCCTACCACACAATTTCACTGATTTTCTTTTTCTTTCTTGGTAAAGTTATGCACCAGAGACTTCTAGGTAGAGCTGAGAGACAATGGTCCTGACATGATGAGAAAACTATCTCCAGGTTCTTTGATTAACCCTAAAAAAGGCATGTATGTAGATGCAAATAGATTTCTCTTTGGCTTTCAACATACTCAGAATTTATTATCAGCTGTTGACCCAGAGGCAATACACCAAAATGCTCTGCCTGAAATTCTTCCCATGCCTGAGACTCACTCCATTGCTCCAAGTCTTTCTGAATCTGTTGTGAGCAATAAGCCCTATAAGCACTTTCTAAACATTGGGCCTCATCACCCAAAGGTGAAAACAGGGTCATCGTCGAGGGCCTCCTGCACCCTCCTGTTCAAAATTATCTCCCTGCTCCAACTTTCCACAGGTCTTAAAATTCCTCTCCCAAACCTCTTAAATCTTTTCAGGAACAAAGCAGAATACAAATATAAACTTGGTGCTTTGGGCTCTAGTCTCCAAAGATCCTTCAAGAACACATCAAGCCAGACTCATTCTTTCACTTTACTTAGTACAGAGACATAAGGACCTGGCATGCATTCCATAAACACCAATTTTTATAGCCTCAATAGACATTGCTAATCAATCACAGCACTATTTCCCATGGAGCCCAGTGATTTCCTCATGATCCTCAAATCACAACTCCAAAGAGCCACCACTCATCAGTCAGAAATGAGAGAGAGAGAGATGAGCCCTATTTGTCATCACTATGTAGAAAACAAAAACAAACAGGGATTGCATTGGGCCCGGGGGGGCGGGGGCAGCGGGGGATCAGATCCCTTAGGCATAAAAGGTACAGTCAGGGGAAAATAGATCTAGGCACACTGCTTAGACTACAGGCACTAAATCTGCAGTGCCAGCACCGAACTGGCACTTCTCCAAGTGTACCTTAGATCCAACCCTCCTCCCAACCTGCCATTTCCAGAGGCTCCCTGGCCCTTCTCACAGAGCTAAAATCAGAGGTGGTTTCCAAGACTTATGAAAGCAACCTCCCTCCCCCAACTTCCAACCTGGCCCATATTGTCTATTTTTAGAATACTAGGCTTGTTCTTTAGGGTAGTCCTTCATGAAGCGGGGACCAGAATGTTTCGGCCACCTGCGGTGACACTGCTGGACTCCAGAAAACCATTCCTTAGAAGAATGGGTTCCCCAGGCTCACAGTGTAGAGATGTTGAGCCCACGACAACTGTTTTGACTGCTGGCAGTACAGAACAGTCCACCCCACACCACTGCCGCACGACTCACTGCGTGCAGCCCAAAGAAACGTCAAGCCAAGACGCTGACATTGTTATGAAAAAAGATGGTGGGCATCGGGTGAGAACGCAGCATTTGAGATCTCAATGGCACATCAGTCAGAAGCCCTGTGCAGTTTCTGGGATGTTGTTTCAGTGAACTTTTTGATGAAATAGGGAACTGCAAATATATGATGATTTTGAAGAGGATTAGCAGGGTGTGTCCTTAAAACTGACTCATCTTGTCAACTGTAGTCATTTAGAATTATAGTTGAGAAAGAAAAACACCTATACTGTATGAACAAGGCAATATTTTAACAGTAGGCTATTACAGGCAGGAAAATTCTTTAACTGGTTTATGAAATCTATCAATACTTGTATCATTCCCTGTAAAAGACAGCAGACATATGATTGTGATCAGGAAACTGCACAAAAAATTCTTTAAACCCCTATGTTATTGTCTTTGTGAAGTTTTTTTTAATAATAAAACCCAACTTTTTGTTGTATATATTCGTATTCCATGTGTTAGATGGAAGCATTTCCTATCCAGTGTGAATAAAAAGAACAGTTGTAGTAAATTATTATAAAGCCAATGATATTTCATGGCAGGTTATTCTACCAAGCTGTGCTTGTTGTTTTTTTCCCATGACTGTATTGCTTTTATAAATGTACAAATAGTTACTGAAATGACGAGACCCTTGTTTGCACAGCATTAATAAGAACCTTGAGGGATACCCTCTGTTAACAACCAACTCATGAACCGTTTCCAGCCTGGAGCTTAGCATATATTCCAGTGAGACACAAAGTCTCTCTTTTACCAAGGTCAAGAACAGAGGTGGAGGACTAATTAATTAATAGTCTTGGATACCTGGCCTTGAGTAATTTCATTGTAAATATTATTAGAATGAGCAGAGATGATCTCAAAATTTCATACACACTAAAGTCTAAACACTGTGTCAGATGAGAGAAACCATTAAAAAAAAATCAGAAAAAAAATTATTTTGAGATAACAAGCAACAGTTTCAACCCAGTGTTAAAGCAATAAAAATAATCAATGCTGTGTAAAGTGGGTTGAATTAGTTTGCAAACTATATAAAGCTATGTGCAGTAAAAAGTCTGTTAATGCACACCAGATAGGAATGGGGTGTTCTCGTCGATTGCCTTTTCTAGTTATCTGAGCTCTACTATATTATCATACTTGGATAACCAATTTAAAAGAATTAGAATATGATTTTTTAATACACTTAACATTAAACTCTTCTAATTCTTTCTTCTTTCTGTGTTAATTCAGAAGACAGTTATGGATCTTCAGTGCCTCTGAGTCATTGTTATAAAAAGTTCAGTTATCGCTGTACCATGCAATAGAGACCGGGCTAAACCTGTACAATGAAAACCCTGGAAGTTGCTTTTTTTAAAAAAAAATAATAAACTCCTAAAATCAACTATTTTACTGGTTGTCTCTTTGTTATAAAAATAAAACACAGATTTCAACTGTTTAACATCCTGGTTATAATAAAATGTCCGTGTCATCCTACAAATGAAATTATATCTCAAATTATTTTGTGTTCTGCACTATATTTTTTACTGTCTTGATTGCTCTCATTTCTTCTTTAGCTGTGCAACATTCAAAATATTCCTTATTTCCAGTAATGTTTTTAAATTTTTAAAAAGTAGTCCATGTTAAACGAAAAATTAAAATGAAAAGTGGAGACAGAGAAGCACTCCGAAGAAATATATTGGTTCAGTTAAGATTATGTCTAGCTGTCTGTTACAAAAATGTGGCTATGATTGATTTGATATACTGAGCAAGGATTTCAGAGGTTTGCAGCTGCTCAAGAAACCAGGCAGTATTATAGATGGTGCAGCAGTAATACCCTTCTGCCTATATACACTTCAAAATGTGATTATTATTTCTGTATTTCTGATACAAACCACTTTATTCTCCTTAGCAGTTTCAATTCAGCTCCTCCACTTACATTTTTTTGTAAGTAGAAGAGTGTCTCTTAATCATTCCTGAATTTGTTTCTTTACAAGTCCTCAAACCTTGAGTTTAGAATTGGAATAAAACCATCTGCAAACAGAAAATCATGTCAAAATTTCTTTCCAAGATTTCATTAATATTCCATTTTCATAACATTTTGGGCACATAGACACTTTTTAAATTACATTCTTAATCATTGAATCATTTTGAGATAACTGGCTAGCAATTTGGCAGGGGGAAAAATGTTGGAGCCCTACCTCACTCCCTATACCAAAATAAATTCCAGCTGCATTTAATTTAAGTGGAACAAATAAAACCAGAAACATATAAGTGGAAAAGATGCTTATTGTATGGTATGAAGAATTTTTAAATTTTGCATATTGTTTTCATTACTTACCAACTTTCTGATAAAATCACTTCAACTACTCTGAGTAGTGTTCCAACGTATTAAGTTAGCTAAGCAAAGGAACCATTAGGGACATGTATAAGATCACTGATCTGCGAGGTGTTGACTGTGAACTGGAGTGGGAGAGCCACAATTATTCATCACTAAATCCAATTTTCTGTGTTTGGAAAAAAATAGGTCTTTCTCTAGAGTCTCACAAGTGTATAACTACCAGTATAACTCTGTCCATCTAAATATATTGTAAGCAAGTTCAACATGGCTTACAATTATCAAACATGTGGTATAAGGCTATAGAGTTGGCATATGCAAAACACACAGATTATATTCTGATTATAATTGTATTGTGTTGTCTTGAAGTTGTTATACCTAAACAATTTAGAAGCCTTATAACTCCACTAGGTATAATCTTTGATACCTCTCCTTTTTACTCAACATTCAAACAGTCACTTAGTTATATAAATTCTTCCTACTCTACTTAAGTTGGGACTATTTTAATTTTTGCAGTTAAAACCATGCAACATTTCCTTTACTGAGTTTTAAATATCATTTCACCATATATTTATAAAGCAAAAACAACAATCAACAAAACGTGCAAGTCAGTGAACAGTTCAAAGCAAAGCTCTGTTAAAATATGTTCAATTAACTGTGTGCACTCAGTGTGTTAGCTGGCATCCTTACTGGGAGCTTCTAGTAAATATTAACAGGGATACAGCTCCTAAAAGACACTTGCCTTTGTGCAGTGAAGTGATTTGCATTCTTACAAAAACATTTTAAAAGTACAAGAAATGTTGGGTATGAGTGCTAAGAGTCCAGAAAACTTCTCATTTTCTTCCAAAGAAGTCATTAAACAGGACTTGCCCCTTTCAAAAATGTGCTGCCCCAGGGCTGGCCATGGAAGACCACAGCGCTCTATCTTCACAGCCTTTTCAATACAAGCACTTCGACCTTCTCCTCCCTGTAGCCCCACCCCAGCTGGGCAGGATACAGAGCACTTGTCTTTTTGTTAGTTTTACTCTTAGAATTATTTACAGGACTCCTATAGCTTCTGTAAGAAACTGGCTTAATTCTGATGATAATCTACATTTCCAAAACAAAGCTCTTGTAGAGCAAAGAGCAGTACCTAGGTAACGCGACTCAGAAGCATTCACATTCATCTGAAATTGCAGGAATGGGCTTCTCCCCAGCTGGAATGGATTCCGGGTGAGTGGGAAGCAGCCTCCCGTCTCTGCAGAGGTGACCGAGCGTTCAGAAGGCAGACTCCAAAGGGTGGGAGGGAAGACCACAGGAGATCCTCAGATAGGAAGTGGAGAGGAGTGATTCTAGGCAAGAGGGGAAAGAAGGGAAGAGGTAGCAAAGCAGGCTGCATGAATTCAGGTACGGTGCAGGGTAAACTGGGGCTTGGGAGGTTAGCTCAGCTACATGGTCCTGCTGGTTAAAGACAGCTGACTTGGTAACATAGTTTCTAGGATGCAGCAAAGAACCAAGGGACTATGTACCTTCTGGTGGCAATAACTGTACTGCTAGGCACAGCTTCACTGAGAACAATACTGATAGAGATGAGGCTCAGCTGAGGGAAAGTCCAGACACACCCTGTTCAATTCCTCATGCCAAACGGTAGCCAAGTTGGAAGACCCCAATCCTCAGGTGAATAAAGCCATCCATAAGAGGAGTGTTAAACAAAAAACTTTATGACTGAAAGCTCTTCAAACAGAAAGGGTGTATTGATCCATAAGCTAGAAGCAGGCCCTGGGGCATGCTGTCGGAGCCACTCGTGGCAGGGCTGGGTGGAGAAAATGAACATAGGCACCATCCTGGATCTGACGGGCGCTTTTATACATTCAGCTTGGGAAAGAAAGACGTGAGTTGTTTTGGAAGAATTTACATTGGCTATAAGTAAAAGAGGCAAGTTCTAGGATAGGTGCATGGTTCATAGGGAAAATGTGTCTGCACTTTTGGATTGGTTGTGGGCACAGTCCGCAAAGTTCATGCGTAAGCAAGATGTGGTGGCGTCTGGTGGCTGGCTGCTCGGTTATTCTCTCCAGAGATAATCACAGAAA